CCTCCCGGGTTCAAGCAATTCTCCTACCTCAGCCTCCTGAGTAGCTGGGACTACAGGCGCGCGCCACCATGCCTGGCTAATTTTTTGTATTTTAGTAGAGACGGGGTTTCAGCGTGTTGCCCAAACTGGTCTCGAACTCCTGAGCTCAGGCAATCTGCCTACCTCAGCCTCTAGGTGAAGTGCTAGGATTACAGGCATGAGCCACCGTGACTGGCTTCCTTTTTTTTTTTGAGTCAGAGTTTTGCTCTTGTTGCCTAGGCTAGAGTGCAATGGTGCGATCTCGGCTCACCGCAACCTTCGCCTCCTGGGTCCAAGCAATTCTCCTGCCTTAGCCTCCTGAGTAGCTGGGATTACAGGCATGCACTACCACACCCGGCTAATTTTATAATTTTAGTAGAGACAGAGTTTCTCCATGTTGGTGAGGATGGTCTCAAACTCCCAACCTCAGGTGATCCTCCCGTCTCGCCCTCTCAAAGTGCAGGGATTACAGGCATGAGCCACCATGCCTGGTCGACAGTTTCTTTTTCATCCTTTCTGAAAATCCACAGTTACATTAAAGTGTGTGAATATGGACTCCTTGAACACGATGAGTCTCTGAAACTCATGGTCTTTCACGTGTAAAATCCTTGCAATTTCTGACTTCTCAGACTTTTTTTTTTTGAGACAGGGTGTCTCACTCTGTTGCCCAGGCTAGGGTGCAATCACAGCTCACTGCATCCTTGACCTTCTGGTCTCAGGCAATTCTCTTGCCCCAGCGTCGCAAGTAGCTGGGACCACGGGCACATGCCACACTGCCAGGCTAAGTTTTTTCTTTTTTTTGAGATGGAATCTCATTTTATCACCAACGCTGGAGTGCAATGGCGCAGTCTCGGCTCATTGCAACCTCCACCTCCCAGGTTCAAGCGGTTCTCTTGCCTCAGCCTCATGAGTAGCTGGGATTGCAGGTGACTGCCACCAAGCCCAGCTAATTTTTATATTTTTAGTAGAGATGGGGTTTCACCGTGTTGGCCAGGCTGGTTTTGAACTCCTGACCTCAGATGATCCGCCCACCTCAGCCTCCTGAAGTGATGGGATTACCGGTGTGAGCCACTGCGCCTGGCCTAATTTTTAATTTACTTGTAGAGATGGGATCTCTTTATGTTTCCCAGGCTGTTCTCAAACTCCTGGCCTCAAGTGATCCTCCTGCCTTGGCCTCCCAAACTGCTGGGATTACAGGCATGAGCCACTGTGCCCAGACAGAGGTTTCCTTTCATCTTTTTTTTTACCGGAAACTTCAGGTTCTCTCCTGAAGGGGCAGCATTCCTTATATCCTTGTCAAACAGTCATTTTTTTTTTCTAAATTCAAACTTCCTCTGGGCCTGGAAATGTAGGAAGTGACCTCTCTGCTTTTCATTACTTCTAGATGTTAGTTTCTTCTTTCTAAGACTTCCCAGCTCCTTGGAAGCTCATGTACCAGCTGCCATCCTTCTTATTTTACTCCTTACAGCTCTTCAGCTCCGGGCTCACTGTTTTCTTCTCGTCGGTGCTTCTGTTGTTATTTTCAGTGGCTTCAGCATCCACACAGACAATTCATCCAACACCTGGGCCTTTATTTTCTCAACTCCTCATTTCCAAAAAGATTTGCCTTCTTGCATTTCAGCATCCCACTCCTCTGTTCATGCTTTAGACTATGTCATTACCAAAATGAAGCACCCCACTTCCAAAATCTTGATTTTGAGCCTCCCATTATCTGCTGACCTCCTCCTGTCATTCCAATTCTGTTCCCCTCTCTGGCTCTGCCACTCCAGCATTTTCCTGACTCCTCAGGTACCTTCAGTCTTTTTACCCACTGACATTTGCATCTTCCATCAACATCGCTTGTGTCCTTGTTGCCCTTCTCCCTCAGCTCAGGTTCTAAGGCTCCTCATTATAATCACTGCCTCAACTCCTTTGATTTCGTCTCTCTCTGTCCTCAACCTAGTTAATCCAACATTTCACCTCCAGCAACTTGCCAGTTAAATCCACCTGGATGGCTGAATCTGGCTGGAGAAAAATGCACAGCTTTGTTGACTTGTCTCACTTTAAATTGATAACCACAGACCCCAAAAGGGACGCTTGGCAATGGCTGGCGGTTCTACTATGTTTCCCTGGTGGATTCATTCACCAGTTCTTTCAGATACACGATTATTTCAGTTTGTCTTCTCTCTTTAAAGTTCAGTACGTCTTTTCACATTCTCCCTTTTCCTGAGAGGTTTACAGACTGAGAAGGTCAGGAGTTCGAGATCAGCCTGACCAACAGGGTAAAACCCCATCTCTGCTGAAAACATTTAAAAAAAATTAGCTGGATGTGGTGGTATGTGCCTGTAATCCCAGCTACTCAGGAGGCTGAGGCAGGAGAATTGCTTGAACCCCGGAGGCAGAGGTTACAGTGAGCTGAGGTTGCGCCACTGCACTCCAGCCTGGGCAACAGATCGAGACTCAGTCTCAAAAAAAAAAAAAGAGGAAAGAAAGAAAGAAAGAAAATAGGAGCAATCAGGAAACTTGTATGAGCTCCCTTCCCTCCTGGAAATCTGCTGTCTTTCCTGTTAGGCAAATGATCCATCACTGTTCCTAAGGCCAACCCTTTGCTGGTTCCCTGGATCCCATCCCCTCTCACCTACTTAAAGACTTTTCTTTTGAAATTACTCCTGTTGCTTTTTTCTTTTTCTTTTTTTTTTGAGATGGAATCTTGCTCTGTCATCCAGGATAGAGTGCAGTGGCACGATCTTGGCCCATTGCAACCTCCTGGGTTCAAGGGATTCTCCTGCCTTAGCCTCCCAGATATCTGGGATTTCAGGCACATGCCACCGTGCCTGGCTAATTTTTGTATTTTTAGTAGAGATGGGGTTTCACCGTGTTGGCCAGGCTGGTCGTGAACTCCTGACCTTGTGGTCCACCTGCCTTGGCCTCCCGAAGTGCTGGGATTACAGGTGTGAGCCATTGCCCCTGCTGACTCCTTTCTTGCTTGCGTCATCAAATTTTCCCTCTCCATTGTATCGTACTTATCAGCTTACAACTAATATCTCATTTATTTATTTATTTTGAGACAAGCTCTCATTTTGCTGCCCAGGCTGGAGTGCTGTGGCGAGATCACAGCTCACTGCAACTTCCACCTCCTGGGCTCAAGTGATCCTTCTACCTCAGTCTTCTGAGTAGCTGGGACTATAGGCATGTGCCACTATGTCTGGCTAATTTAAAAATTTTTTTTTAGAGACAGCGCCTCTGTGTGTGTGCATACATGTAATTAGGTAAGCACGGATACTGTGTGTCAGTGGGAGTATGGGCTTGTATCAGATGATGCTGTTGGGTTCTCATGTATGCTCTGTGCCTTTCTGGTCTAATTTCCCCATGATAGGACTGGACCCAGAGCTGGCTTCCAGGAGATTCATAGACTATCACAGCTAGAAGGACGCCAAGAGAAAACACAGTTCACATTCCTCACTTCACACATATGAAAACTGAGGCCTAATTTTTTAGTAGAGACAGGGCCTCATTATATTGCCCAGGCTGGTCTTGAACTCCTGGGCTTAAGGTGATCCTCCTGCCCTGGCCCTCCAAAGTGTTGGGATTATAGGCATGAGCCACTATGCCCAGCCCAGTCCTTTATTGATGGAAATTTTTCATATGTCTATTTCTTCCTTCTTGCAAATATCCTTGTTTGCATACCTACATATTGGCAGGAAAATAACAACATAAGGTAAATGTCTGGCAGTAGAAATATTAGTTTAAGTGGCATGTTCAGTTTTAATTTTTTTTTTTTTTTTTAATAAGAGTCTCACTCT